TATATATTATACACCCACATATATTATTAACTAGATGGGCCCCCTTTCGATGAAAGGAATGATCGGTGCATTAACATCAACTGAAAGTCATTGGCCTACTATATTTACACTCTACTGGAATGGGTAATTAAACTTGAGAGAAAAGTGACACATGTTATGTGTTTCCAAGTTGCCATTTATATAATAGATAAAGTACCATGCAAAACCTGGACTTACAGTTGTATGTGCTCATTAGTATTTTGCACACGGACTGTGTTATTTAGATTTTGGACATAATCATCTGTCAGTGAAGAACAGAAGCCATGAAATTGCCATGATTTGGGGTTGTCAGAGTTGGAATGAACAAAACTTTACTCGTGAGAATCACCGAACCTGTCGCAAAGATAGGATTTTGTGGTGCATTACTGTCGACACAGTTAAAACAAATTAAATAAAAGATGTCTTGTGTTGAATACAAACATGCACTTTCACATTTGAGGAAGATATGCTTTTATCGGCTGGTATTTGTCCCTCTTGATCTTGGTTCACTTTAACGGAGATATAGGATAGAAGTAGCTTGCCTCCAAAATGGTCTAGGTTGAGTTAATAATGTTCGTATTATTTTTGGTAATGAAATGTTTGTATTTCTACAAGAGTCGGGGCTGATGTCAGTGATGCTACCTTGTTAAGTTTAGATTGCCTCTGTTTATTTATTTTTTTCCCTCCTCATGTAATTACCATCATCAATTTGGTCAATGAGCTTAATAAAGTCTTAATTTCCTTCTTGAAATATTTAGCAGTCTTGTTTATTTTATTTCCTTTTCTGTCTTCAGATTTGTATTACGATGGCTACTAGTTGTCAAGAAGAGAAACCGGTGACCTCTTTGGATGACTATGGTGAGGGACAGGAGTAAGGTTTGGACAGTTAAATCAGACTGTTAAACTGTCAACTCCTTTTTGTTTTAAAAATACTTGTAGATCTAGATGTAAGGAGCCACTTTATAATTTTGCCATGTCATTTCTAATCCCGGGAAAAAGGTGTTGGTAAAATGATGAACTGTATAGATCTATGTATGAACAATGAAAAAGCTATTGGAAATTTATTCCCCCCCCC